GATAAACTTACCCTCCTTGTACTTCTGACTGCTCTCAAAGGCATGCTCCTAAAGAGAGGTGGACACAGAGAGGGAGAGTGAGAAAGAGAGAGAGAGAGAGAGAGAGAGAGAGAGAGTGCAGAATAAGGAATGGAGTATCAAAATGTGTCAGTTTCTTTATTTTTTCTGTTTTTTCCCCTCTTTCTCAGAGACATACAAAGTATAAAGCTAGCCAGCCCACTGGGCATGTGTAAGCTCTAATGAGCTATTCAGACTTGTGTTTTGGTTGCCCGGAAACCTAATTAACTAGGCTAAGAAGTGGTAGCTAAGATACACTACATGGCCAAAAGTTTGTGGACACCTGACCGTCACTCCCATATATGAGCCTTCCCCATACAAAGTTGGAAGCAACACAATTACTGAGGATGCCTTTGAAAGCTGTAGCATTACAGTTTCCCTTCACTGACACTAAGAGGCCCAGACCTGTTCCAGCATGACAACGCCCCTGTGCACAAAGCGAGCTCCATGAAGTCAAGTGGCTTTGTTGTCATTTCAACCATATACAGCTGGTGCAGTACACAGTGAAATGAAACAACATTCCTCCAGGACCATGGTGCTTCACATAATACACTAACCAAATGAGACGACACAGAACTAAATAAGATCTACACATTCTACATAAAGTGCATGTACAAACGTGTCCAAGCAACACAAGACAGTACTTTACCTACTAAAACACAACACATGCACAGTAAGTAACACTGTAGCTCTGACCAGTACACAGTTCAAGTACGGAAGTACTACTTGTATTGTTCCCTACTTGATATATCGCTTTGCTTATTTGTAAGTCGCTTTGGATAAAAGCATCTGCTAAGTGAATAAATGTAAATGTAAATGTAAGTGTCCGATATAACCGGTAGTGCGAAAAGACAAATAAATAAATATATAAAATGCTGTGAATATATAAACATAACATATCATGACATAGTATTCAGCAGATTCTCTTATACCATATGTAGACAGAGTTCTTGAGGTAGCAGCCAGGTAAAGAGTATAGTGGTGACAAGAAATTGAACACAATATTTTTATTATATATATATTTTTAAGTACATTAGCAGCTGAAAAACAGGTTGTCAGTACAGAAATGTGCAACAATTGCAAGGGGAGTGGGACGGTGTTCAGTGCAGTGTGTGTGTGTGTGTGTGTGTGCCAGTCTAGTATCTGAGTATTGAGGATTGAGTATTGAGGAGTCTGATGGCTTGGGGGAAGAAGCTGTTACACTGTCTGGCCGTGAGCGACCGAATGCTTCGGTACCTTTTCGCAGACAGCAGGAGGGTGAAGAGTTTGTCTGAAGGGTGTGTGGGGTCATCCACAATGCTGGGTGCTATGATGGAGGGTAGAGAGACCCCAATGATCTTCTCAGCTTACTATATGCTGCAGGGTCTTGCGATCCGATACGGAGCAATTTCCAGTGATGCCGCTGCTCAGGATGCTCTCGATAGTTCCTCTGTAGAACGGGAGAGGATGAGTGGTGGGAGATGAGCTTTTTTCAGCCTTCACAGAAAGTAGAGATGCTGCTGGGTGTATCTTGGTTATGGACCAGGTGTTGAGGGACCAGGTGAGGTTCTCCACCAGGTAAACACCAAATAATTTTGTGCTCTTGACGATCTCCACGTAGAAGCCATCAGCTGGAGATGTTTAGCAGAGAGTGGTCGCTCCATGCTCTCCTGAAGTCAACAAACATCTCTTTTGTTTTGTCCACATTCAGAGACAGGTTATTGGCTCTGCACCAGTCTGTTAGCTGCTGCACCTCCTGTATGCTGACTCGTCGTACATGCTGATGAGACCCAACACGGTCGTGTCATGGGTGAAGGCGATGTTTTTCCAAGATTGGAGTGGAAGAACTTGAGTGTCCTGCACAGAGCCTTGACCTCAACCGCACTGAACACCTTTGGGATGAACTGTAACACTAACTGCACCTGAGGCCTCCTCACCCAACATCAATGCCTGATCTCACTAATGCGCTCATCTGAATGATCACAAATCCCCACAGTCACGCTCCAAACTTTACAAAATGTACAAACTAATCAAAAGGGGAAACAGAAACAGGTGTGGGCAATGACGATACATACGGGAAACAACCAATCACAAAAAACACACGTGGGAACACAAACAAAGTCAGTGGCAACATGGACTCGTGCGTTGAATGCTCCGGTACTCAGTGCGTGGGGAAATTCATGACAAATAGCATATGAAGAGCTAGTTAAGTGCATAAATGCAGTTTTCTGTTTGAGAGTAAGACTGTGTGGGACATAATTGTGTATGCCTTCAGTGGGACTATGAGCAGCTACACCACTAAATTTAGATTCTGTCAGAGTTTTTTCTGTGTTTGTTTTTTGTAATTGTAAAGTGACCTTGGGTGTGAGAAAGACACTATATAACTTAAATATAATAATAATAATAATATCATCACTACTCTTACTAAGGGAAGTAAGTATAGGTTCATTATCCTCTTTTAACAAAGGTTTTAATGTAACACATGGTGTTTGTACCCTCGATGTGTTTAACCGTGAGGTGACTGTTACTTATTGCAGCGAGAGTTACACTTGTGCTGGAGTTTTTGTTTCCATATTCCTGTGTATTGAAAAGATCATTCGTCATCCATGCATGCTAATTAATCCACGTAGTACATACTGCCAACCAGATTTCTCCTTGGCCGATATGATGTCAAGGTGTGTCACAGCACCATGAAGCACATGAAGTCAAGAAAACCATAACAAAAAAATTTTTGGAGAAGGGGGGGTTTGTTTTTTTTTTTTTTTTTTTTTTTTTTTTTTTTTTTTTTTTTTTTTTTTTTTATGTGTTTAAGAATTTATTAATTTTTGGTTTTGTTTTTTTAAATTTTGTTTTTTTTTTATTTATTATATTTAATTTTTAAGTTTTAATTTTTTTGTTGTTTTTTTTTTTTTTTATTTTTTTTTAATATTTTTTTTTTTATTTTTTTTTTTTTTTTTTTTTTTTTTTTTTTTTTTGTTTTTTTTTTTTTTTTTTTTTTTTTTTTTTTTTTTAAATTTTTTTTTTAATTAATTAATTAATTTTAATTTTTTTAAATTTTATAAAATTTTTTATAAAAAAAAAAAAAAACAAAAAAAAAAAAAAAAAAATCAAATAAAATAAAAAATAAAAAGTTTAGAAAAAGAGAAGAAAAAGAACAACATATTGACAGAATAAAAAAATACCATTCCTGTTTGGTTTTTTTTTGAGTTTACATTATCTTTTTTTTTTGTGTAGGGGGGTTTTGTTTTTTTTTTTTTTTTCCAACCACCGGTTTTTATCCCCCCAAAAAACAACAACCCCAAACCGCTCCTGTGCTTATAAGAGACTTCTGAACATACCAGAAAACAAATACAGGAATCAGTCAAATGTTTGTGAACACAAATAAGTGTGTTGCCTTGAGAGCATTTAGTGATGTAAATATTACACTCACATATTTCCAACCCAGTGTAGTTTTGCAGTTCTCACAGTAGATATCTGCTACTGCATGTAGGCCGGTGAGGAGCACTCGCTCTTCTGCTGGACCACAACCTACATTCACCCTGTTGAGAGACAGACAGACAGACAGACAGATAGATAGATACGCTGAAAAAAATAAGCAATATGTATAAGCATATGACCATGGGTCAACCTTTTAATCATATATATATTATCTACTACAGGTGCCTTACTCCAGTTCTGGAGGGCTAGAGTCCAGTACAGTTTGGTAAGTACATTATTTTAACACATCTGATTCAAATCACTAGTTAATGACCAGGTTTTGCGGTGTGTTAGAGCAGGAAAATGTCCAAACTGTGTTGGAATTTGTTTGGAGGTAAGCATCCTTGCTATATACTTACACAGAGTTGAAAAGATAGGCTCTGCCTTGACTTCCTTGAAAGGACTAAAAGAAAATCAATAAAACAGCTTATAAGAATCTCTTGCAACAGATTTGTCTATAAAAGCATATTTTCTCTCTGTGCAATGTGAAACAGTGACAACAAGCTGTGCAGCATCTGCTAGTCTGACCCTAACCTCTTCTGCTCTGATCATGTTTGCTCTTGCCTGCTAACACAGTTAGATATGTATTCAGTCTTCCATTTACATAATGACAAACAGTCTCTCAAACTGACTAAAAAAATTGAATAACTGAATTACAAAAAAAGTTTGGCAAGAAACTCCATACAGAAATCATGATCACCTTAGAGATGAGCTCGTCATGGTTGGCGAGGTGTGCACGGCAGTGGATGCAGCTGTAAGTGCGGTGACAGGTGGGAAGGTAGGCCTGGAAGGTTTTGGAGCGCGTCATGGTGAGCATAGGCGGGCTTGGTGCACGTTGCACGAAGGGGCTGCCGGCCCAAGACGGCTCGCACGGGAAACAACGCAACACACACGTGAGGGCCGTGGTGGTGCGTGGGGTGGGACACACACACCTGTGGAGAACAGCAGGCCTTTACATGTGCCTTCTTTAACACATAGCTCTCTTCTTGCAGAGTGTGCACACACGCACGAGAGAGAGAGAGAAAGCAAAAGCAAAAAACTTAACTAGATGCATGTTGTGGATTGCAAGAGGCAGAGAAAACAGTCACAAAGAGAGGTACACACAAGAGAAAGAGAGAGCGAGAGCGCAGAAACTGAACTAGATGCGTGTTGGGTACACAGAAAAAAAATTAGATATATAGAGAAGGAGAGCGAATCAGAGAAATACACTGAGAAAGAGAAACACAGGTATAGAAAGAGTGAGACAGGCAGCTAGGGCTGGTGAAAATACTGAGATTAGCAGCCAAGATCTGTCACAGAGATGACAATAAAAACTGACTGGTTACTTTAATAGGAACACCTTTATAACAACTCATGCACTTATCCAATCCGTCAATCATGTGGCAGCAGCACAATGTAAAAGACCATGCAGATACAAGTCAAGAGCTTCAGGGCATGCTCTCATCAAATATCAGAATCAGACCGTGTTATGATTATTGGACATGCACAGTGGTAGCTCAGTGGTTACGATGTTGGGCTATTGACCAGAAGGTTGTGAGTTCAAATCCCAGCACTAGAAAGCTGCCACTGCTGGGCCCTTGAACAAAGCCCTTAACCCTCAACTGCTCAGTTGTATAAATGAGATAAATGTAAGTCGCTCTGGATAAGGGCATCTGCCCACATTAAATGTAAATGTGTCAACAGCATGAATCCGTAGACCGTGATATTAACACGGACCAGAATCTCAAAGAAACGCTTTCAACAGCTTGTGGAATCCATGCCAGAAAAAAACTGAAGTTATTCTGTAGCAAAGGAGGTCCTGTCTATTATTAGTATAGTGTTCGCAGTGAAATGGCCACTGAGGATATAGTTATAAGACTGTAGGAATATGTTTTCAGAGGCAGATCCTCAGTAGCCACAATGAGCTGTGAGTAACAATTATGTAAGCCTGTGGAAATGGAGAGAGTTTTCTGGTCAGTTGGTGGAAACACACAGAAATGATAAAAGCATCTATGCCGTCAATAAATGTAAATATATGTCATGGTAAATGTAAATGCTGAGATCTCTGCAACACTGGGTCTAGGAATCAACACTTCTGTGGGCTCTGAGTGGGAAAGCAACTCTTGTATTCCCTTTATTGTTACCCAGGAAAGGCGTGGGCATAAAGAGTTCACTGAGAGCTTGCATACACACACTTGCACACAGACAGTAGTCTCCCACATGCAGTCGCACAAACTGATGCATTCACAAACAAACGTACTGGCATGAACGAGCTGCTGTGTACCCAGTATGCCATGAGCTGAACACTATAAGGGTATTTCAGGACGCAGTCAATTCAGAGACTTACCTACACTTGTGTTTCTTTAGTTTAGCATTTAGTTTCTTAAATATTAGCTGCCCAATAGTATGCTCTCAGGCAACACACAGAAAAATAAGTGTTTTTTGTTGGTATAATAAGAACACTGTGATTACTGAGATGCAGTAAATGCAGTACCACATTGTATGTACAGAAAAAATAGCAGCCCTTTTAGTAGCAATTAATTTGGAAAATTTATAATCTTTTCATAATGTTTTAGGAAACTTAAGTACTGTCCCCAGAGGTCCTCTGCCAACAAAAACATCCGCTAGTGCAGAACCATGAAATGAGATTAAAAGGAAAATGTGGTGTGGTTAATGAGGATGGGCAGACTTTATTAAATCCTCTCCAATCAATTTAATCAAATTCACTCTGAACTAAAATGAGAGGGAAATGTAATAATTTATTGCTAAAATCAGAAACCGACTCTGACCTGGGTTGAAATGATCACAGCACTATGGAACGAAGGCCTGCCATGATTTGACTTTTGGATGATTTGACTCTTGGATTCATTATTTCATGTCTTCTGATACAGAGTGCCTTTAAGATTCTCTTCCCAAACATTCAGTGTTTGTTTCCACAACACTACTAATGGACATGTATTTGCTAGTGGAGAACATCACAGTGTCATACCAAATCAAAAGAAACAAGCCCTGATCTGTTTTTGGGCTTCTTATGTTTAGTGACTACTAACCATCCTGATTCCACAGTCACGTCTGGATATGACTAAAAGCCCTCACTGAACCATCCTGCCTGCCTGTGTTTCCTCAGTTCCTGCTCCAAAACATGATCCTGGTTTCCAGCACCAATCCTTAGTTACAAATGTGTGAAAGTGTAGTGACTCAGGGCTGCAAGAGGCAAAGCACAGACATACGAGACCAAAGTAAGGGAAAACTTAGTGCTTATTTATTGGCGTGAGGTGGTTTGGGAAGGGAGTGGGGAGTGAAATGCCAAATTGTGGAGATCTGCATGATCACTGTCTCGGTCAAAATTTCAGTGGCCGTGAAAGGAGCGATAATCTGTTGATGTGCGTAGGCTGTAGCTCCCCCATCACAGTACCCCACCTCAGCTCCAAGGGTACTGTCGTTGGGTGTTGGGCCCACAGAGCGTGTCAGCGTGATTTCCATGTTGGGCTGTTGCTCGGTGTACTACCTGGAACAAGAAGTCCAGCAATGAAAGGAACCATCGCGTTAGCCTGGCATTGTTGTCCTTTGCCTTGGCCATCCACTGCAAAGGGGTGTGGTCGGTGACTAGGATGAAGTGTCGGCCTGCCAGGTAATGCAGCTCCTTGATGGCTCACTTTATTGCAAGGGTTTCTCTTTCCACTGCGGCGTACTTCTTCTCGGCTAGGGACAGCTTCCTGCTGTAGTACAGTACCAGGTGCTCTTCTACTCCAAAGGTCTGTGAGAGGATGGCACCCAGGCCTGCCTCCAAAGCGTCTGTGTGCACTATGAAGGGGCAGTTGAAATTGGGGTTCCTCATCACTGGGGCGCTAGTGAGTGCTCATTTCAGGGCCTGGAACGCCTCTTATGTTGTCCACCTGTCCACCACACTTGGTCTGGCTGTCCCTTCTTTATGTCTGAGAGGGGGCTAGAGAAGAGAAGTTAGGCATGAATCTACAGTAATATCCCACTAACCCCAAGAAAGAACTAACCCTGTTTCTTTGCCATGGGTTGCGGGTAGCCTTTAACTGCCAAAAAAAAATCTTTTTTTTTCCTGAGGTTTAAGCAGGTCACAGCAGGCCGATACAATACTACAGGTACTGAGCCCCAGATGGCACATTTTTGGGTTGGCCATCAGCCCTGCCTTCCAGAACTCTCTTAGTACCTTCCTGAGATGGAATAGGTGGTCCGACAAGGTGGTGGAGTGAATTACCACATTGTCCAAGAACGTGGCTGCGTATTAGCAGTAAGACAATATCCATCAACCTTTCGAATGTTACGGGCGCTCCATGAAGGCTGAAGGGGAAAACCCTGTACTGCCAGTGGCCACAGGCGGTGCTCAAGGCTGCTTTTCTTTAGCATCCGTGGCTAGTGCGACTTGCCAGTAACCTTTGGTGAGATCGAGGGTGGAGATGAACAGGCTCTCTGCAGCCAGGTCATCCACTCGGGGCAGGGTTAGCTGTCAAATTCTGATATTGCGCTGAACCTCCTGAAGACACTGCACAGTCTCCAGTTTCTGTCAGGCTTTGGTACAACCAAGATAGGGCTGAACCAGGGGCTAGAGAATTCTTCAATGATCCCATCTCGTAGCATTCATCCCACTTCTTCCTTGATAACCTGGCGGCTGGCTTCTAGGACACAGTTGGGCCGCTGCCTTACCACCATTCCCGGAGGTGTTTTGATCTCGTGATGGACCAGATGAGTCATCCCGTGGGTGGAGGAGAAAATGTTGGTGAACTGGTCCACCAGCTCCATCAGCTGCTCGCATTGCGTGGGGCTGAGGTCTTCTCCTCGATGGACCAGGGTATGTTCATTGGGATCTGTGTACATGGCGGCCATAGCAGACACCATTGGAGCTAATTCAACCCATTTATTTAAGAGGTTAATGTGACATAATTATGTGTCTGCATGCTTACCGGGCTTTCGCAGGCGGTATTTCATGGGAGCCACCCTCTCGAGGACTGTGTACAGGCCTTGCCAGTGAGCCAGGAACTTGCATGAGGCGGTGGGTGGCAGGAGGAGTAACTGGTTGCCGGGCTGGAACACCCGTGGCTGTGCTGGCCAGCAGTATGTCTACTGCTGTTCCTTCTGTGCAGCCTTCATGTGCTGTCGGCCAATCGGTGCAACTCTGTCAATCCGCTCTTGCATGTCCTGGACGAACTCAATGTGTGACCAGAATGGGGAGGGCTGTTCCTCCCACGCCTCCTGGGACACATCAAACATTCCCAGAGGAAGCTGTCCGAAGAGAAGTTCGAAGGGAGCAAAACCTGTGGATGCTTGTGGGTATTCTCAGATGGCGAAGAGGACATATGGAAGTTCCATCCATCTGTGTGTGGTAGATGGACGTCCTCAGGTGTGCAACCTGCAATAGACAGCTCACTCATTGGTTTTCATGTGAATGGCATAACTTGGTCTTGGGATCCTGTCTTTGAGGATCCCCACCCGGTTGAACAGGAGCATAAGCTCTTTTGTAATGTAGCAGGGGTTGGCTTTCCATAGTAGTACAAACCTAGCGGTATCTGGTGGCATAGTCCACAATAACAATGTATTCATGACCCCAGGGGGATTTTGGGAGGGGGCCTATGAGGTCCATGTCAATTCGCTTGAAGATCGGGATGCCAATGATGGGGAGTGGAATGAGGGGGGCGGGTGAGGGCTTCTGTGGGCCAGTGCACGGGTACCCGGGGTACTGTCGGCAAAAAGCCTGGATTTCTGCGTCCATTCTGGGCCAGAGGAACCGGTCTTTTAACTTTTCCATGGTGTTCCTGGCCCCCAATTGCCTGCAGAGTGGCTAAGCGTGGGCCAGGTGGATGAGGAGTTGGGTTTTTGACCTGGGGACCACCAGAAGGTCGACAGATTGACCCAGGCATTTGGTTCTGTGATAAAGCAGCCCATTTTGCACCAGGAAATATGACGGTGAGAGCCTTTGATCTGGGTTTTGCATGACAACTTCTATCTGTTGCACCTGGGGCCAGCAACGCCTAAGTCGGTCATCCACTTTCTGTTCGCGCCCAAAGTTCCCCTCTCGTGTTGCCTGTTGAAACATAAAAAACAGGCTTATTAGGTGTGTATATATATCTCACCTTCTGTACTGGCGTTCCCTCCTTCCTGGGCTATGTAGGTCTGCCGGACCCGCGTTGCTGAGGCATTGGCTTCTTCCGGTGAACCCTGGTGGCTGTGGGAAACCCTAGCCGAGAAATAGTAGGGCTGGCAGCTCCAGGATAAGGCCCACGAGGAGGGGCCATGTACTGGTGTGGTTTTGGATCTGTATTTCTGCAGCAGGGACCTTATGCACATCACCATGCAAACACGTTACTGTAACTGTTCCTCTTCTTTTAGCCACTCTGGTCGTGACTGTGGGCCGGGCTAAGGTCACCGTGCTCCCCAAATCCAGTAGAGCCGTGACAGGTTGACCGTCCTATTCCACTCGTAGGGTGGGTGTTCTGGGAGGGTCTGTCTTGTGGTGGGTTCATCCTGCCAACCAAGAGTTGCTGGCCATTTGTAGGGGCGCTAGCTCCAGCTTGGTGGGCATGGGCTCGTCCCGAGGAAATCCATAGG